ATTTATAGGGGGTGGGGGTTTGTCAGACAAATTACCTATCTGGAGGCAGGAGCCGGCTCCTGCTGGAAGGTATTGTCAATGTTTGTTGCAAAATACAAATAATCGCATTGGCAAGAATATTTTTTCACTTTTTGCGCCTTTAAAATTGATCAATGACCCTATTTTAGGCAATGCTTTTTTTTTTAGGTGAAAACCTTTAAATGCGATAGCCCAGAATTTCTTTTTAAATATCCCGTATCCCGTTAATTTTTTCCCAAATATCCTGTACCCCGAAAACCTAAATAGGGCCTCCATCGTGAATTTTACCCAAAACACATAGCGCGCGCTTGATGATCACTATGAGGGGTGGTTTGGCCCCAGTGTTCAAATCGCTTTTATCGCCACGATCAACGGACCGCCAAAGCATCTGGCATCCAGGATCTGGTTGTTCGAAAGCCGAGTTACACTAACCTTCTGAAGACCGGCGAAAGTGCACTACGTTTCAGTTTTTGGAGGGACTGATTACATCAATAATTTCCCTAATCAAAACGAGGAAAACAAATTTTATCAACAACCACAGAAAACGCTTTCTGACGAAATGCCTGCATGTGCAGGAAAACTGTACACAATGTGGGTCACTGTTTTAACGCGTAAACCGCTTTGGGAAAACACGGCGGTCAACGGCCTGTTTACACTTGGCTGATAACGATGGTAAAATGAGTTGCAAAACGCACTCAGTTTGAATCGCGTTTATGTGCTAGAAAACGTGAAATGAACGGCATGTTTTCCTGGTCAGGTTACTGCCGGTGAATGTTGAGTTTTCCTTGTGTTACCCAAAGTCGAAAAAGGAGTCAGGAACGTGATATTTTCACGACATTAACCGTGTGGTAAAATTTCCGGTTAACGACACAAAACGAACTGTTCAACCCCGTTTTCCATGTGCTGGAAAATGTAACACGAACGGCATGTTTTCGCTCTGTTAACTGATGGTGAATGCCAAGTTGTCCTTGACTTTTCCGAAGTAGGAAAACGAGTCACGAACGCGATATTTTCCTTACATTAACCGTTTGGTAAAATTTACGGTTAACGAGAGAAAGCGCACTGTTCAACCACGTTTTCCGTCTGCTGGAAAACGTGAAGTAAACAGCATATTTTCCTGGTGTTAACGGATTGTGAACGCCGAGTTTTCCTTGCGAATTCCGAAATGAGAAAACGGATCGTGAACGTGGCATTTTCAATGAATTAACCGTTTGGTAAAATTACCAGATAATAAGAGATTTTTTGCCGTGAGAATGATTGCAGTATGCGCCATGGTTGACTTTGACATGTAAAAAAGTCATTGTTCGGCCTGCCAATTAGGTTGATGGTAAATTCGATATAACGCACTCCCGGTAATTCATTGAGTCTGTTGGAGTTCCGGAACAAGGATCTCGGGGTTAGATAACGTCTGCGGAGTAGGTTACCGCGCATATATTTTGTGAACTTTCTCTACCACAAGTAATTAATCATATATTTTACTTATTTAGTTATTTCTTCTTCTTTTTTTTGACTTACTTAATCATTTTTAGTCAGATGGAAAAGCAGCACCTCAACCGTACAGCTTACTAATGAAAGTCGGCGTAAATAGTGATGTTCGTCCCATTTTCAAATGACCCACGGTAAAAAATGGCTTTGGTTGAAACATTAAAATAAATTCGATAGAAGAGAAAGTCAAAACAATTTTCGATCTCAAGTAGTTTAAGGCCTGGGGCTAAGGGGTTTACCTGTATAAAATAATTTATTGGCTATAGCTTCGGCATAGATGATGGCCCTGAATCAAAATTTGGCACACAAAATTAAATATTATTAAATATTTCTAGCTCTTCATGTTTGCAATATACGTCCATTGCACTTCAAAAAAAATTTTTGAGGAAAAAATCATTTAAAATGCACAAATCTAATCTTGAATTATTTCAAACTTTAATTTTAAACTTCGCGTACATTCATTCCTAACGTAGAAAGTTATAGGTATGTTTATCCTCTTTCAGAAATGCCAATTTGTTTGTCCAAATAAAGTAAATTCGCCACCAATTAGCCAATTTCCTTCATTTTCAATTTTTGGCCACGCGGTGACATGTCACGTGTCCATGATTAGACGTTAAGGCACAAGAAAACCTCAAGATTTACTTTTGGGGAAAATTCATTTTGTTCTAGGCCTCCTTGCGAGAGATTGTGTAAATCATTCATATTCTCCGAACACACCTTTGACCCAGGCCTTAAACCCCTTGAGATGTCAATTTCTTTTTCTGGCCTAGCAGTGACGTGTCAACTGTGTTTTCCAATACGCCTTGTCGTCGAAATGTCTACGCGTTTATTTCAAAAATTTGAAACCCTTCAAATAAACAAAAGGAGACTGTTGGCTAGGATGGAGAAGTTAATCTTAAATTGTGTAAATATTGAACGTACGATAACAGATATAGGTTTGTTACTAAAAGAGCGATTTAAATAAATCTATAATAATGGTAAAATGAAATCACTCATTGCCAAATGTCTTTACGTAACTGGCTAGTTTAATTAAACTCTGGCTAAAACAGACCTCCATTCTCTCTTGACCTCCCTTAATGATTTTGTGTTCTGTTCGGTGCCAGATTTAAGCTTATATCTCAAATATTATATTAGCTAAGCTATGCACTGCAATGTTTGCCTAAACCGATAAAGAATAATATTGAACAAACTCCTCCGCGTTAAAATGCCTAAAAATAATTCGGTCACTTATCAAGCAAGATGAGATAATTTACATTGATTACCCCGAAATTTTTTTTTTTTTCACCTCTTTTTTCTCTGTATGTTTACACGTATATGTCGTCAGTGCTTACTTTTGTATGTTCTAGGTGCCAAGGAATTAAGGCGGCTCAAAACTCCTCTAGCATGATTTGAGAAAAATTTTTCCCCTGTGGAGCATTAATCTTGTTTTTTTGTTGGTTGTTGCTACGGCAATTAAATAAAACGAAAGCACGGCGAGTTAAACAAACATATTTTATTCGCATAATAGGTTGAACAACAACATATAGTCAGATACGAACAAAGGAAAAAAAATAGATCAAGACGTAAGTTTGGACGGATAATGATAATAAAAAGCGACTGGGTCTAAACTTATTAATACTTTCAGGATTTGTGGGAATTGAATTAACGCCAATCGATTTCGAGAAAAAGAAGAAAGTGAAGAACATTTGGTACTGTATCATGGCACTCATGGGAAAGACAATATTTATTCGGTATATATATACAATTGTAGTTGAATGATACTTTAACACCTGAAACTCTTGAGTTTATAAATTACTTCAATTGATTTCTATTTTTGGAGCATACGATTTCTTGAGGGGAAAAACATATAAATAGTCGTATTTGGCAAAAGGAACTATCCTAAATGAGCATAATTCTCTGATGGTCTTCCTCCGCTGTTTGAGTAGAAGGTACTTATCTCTTATGAGACACCTTGTTATTTACTTTAGTTCGTTACTTACTTTTTAGTATTTAGAAAACTAACCTCATTATTTTAGAATTCTATGTAAGGAGAAAAGTTACTTAACATTCGACACCCTAGATACATTTCTTTTTTTATCTTGCATGTCTTGAGTTTCTTCAGTGAATAGATTTTTTTTCCAATTGAAACATTGCATTGGTAGTCATGATGTTTTTTTTCTGTTCTTTCTTCTATGGATATATCAGTTGAAAATAAATCATTCATTTATTGCAAAAAATTCTATAGTGAATCTTTGTCTATGGATGTGTAAAATTATTTTTTCGACACTTTAACCTTGCTCTGTGCTAGAGTTCAGAATAGGATAAAAATATATATTGAACGTTTTCCGCATGGACAACTACACTGTAGTTTATAATTATTAGCTCGCTAAATATGTATGGCTCTTATTGTTGTTTTTTTTTTTCGTGTACTGATTACTTAGTCTATTTCTTATTCTTAGGTTCACCAGTTATATACATCGAGAAACAGAATGAAGGCCTTTGCCATGCTTTTGATGATTAATACGGTGTTCAGTGCGCCAATCAATTCTGACGGTAATCAATAGTTTTTACTTGCTGGTATAATCGATTTTTTTTTATGTCCCCTTAAACGTTTAATTGCTTTACGTTTTATCTGCAGAGCATCTTGAACAGTTTTATTATTATTATTATTATTATTGTTGTTGTTGTTGTTGTTGTTGTTGTTGTTGTTAACAAAACTACTCATTGTTGAATCTGTGGATGATCTGCCTTGTACGTCAAGTGGTAGCAATACCAAATAAACTTTTTCTCTCGTACTGGAATATTAGTTATCAACTATCGCTCAATCCTTCACACTCTGTGTTCTTGAATATTATAAACACCCCCTATTTCAATAACTGAAAAATAAACATTATTTGTGCAATTTTTGTTTGCAGAAAATCGTGACATTAAAGATCCAGATTTGTTTGAGGGAGACATGATTCTTACACCTGAGCAGCGTGCTTATGCCATGATGGGACTGGACGTTTCTGCACCTAACAAACAAGGAGCTGCGAGTAGAGGTCCACTTTGGCCTAACGGAGTTTTGATCTACGACATTTCACCAGTACTTGGTGAGCCTTTTTCTTACAACACAGTACCAACCAATCAACGCTTAAACCAAACAAAAAACTCACTGATTTCGTACAAAACCTCTGATTTTCTTTAACATAACTTTTCTTGTAGCTAATATTCCAACAGCAATGGCAGCCATAATAGCGGGGATGGATGAATGGAGCCGTAAGACGTGCATCCGCTTTAGAAAACGAACAACTGAGACGGATTACGCCTATTTTAAATATGGCTCGGGGTAAGAAGTGGTTTCCATCATGTTTAAAACTACTATTTCCAGTGGTGTATGAAAGGCTGTTTTATATTATTATTCATTCAAAAATATTTCTCCGTTCCTGATTGGCTTAAATCCTACGGCACGAACGGACATTTCTGCCCATGGATAATTCTTCACAACCACCTAGTGTATACAGCATTTGGAAGACGTTTACGATATAAAAGGTGAAAGGTAAAGCAAACATGATCGATAACTCGTGACAGTGATAACTGATAATTTTGAGGTAGACGGAGTGCTCATCCCCCCTCCCTCCCCCAGTGCCCTCTCTTCATCAATGCTCCGTTTTAAGGGTATGTAAAGCTAGTCAAAGCTACACAGAAAGGAGAGAGGTTGAAACAAGGATGTGAAGTCACCCCGGGGATCGAACAAGGGAGCTTGCGCACTGAAGGCTTGGCACTATCCAACTGTGCCACTCTTGCTCCCATAAATGTGGAATTATTTTGAATGAATATTAAAACAATTAATGCATTTGGCTTTCGTATGATCTGAATAATTGTGCAGTTTTCGGAGGATGTTAGGAAGCTTAAGCGACAGCGTTTTTGAGCGACGGACGTCAACCGCATTTTTTTGCATCATTGGGGAAAGGTTTGGTTGAAACTCTCGGGTAAATCGTCTTTATAAGAGAAAAGACACTTAGCAATACAAATTTGAAGGCCTCACTTCCGGTTGACGTGTATGCAAACTTAGTCACGTCTGTTGAGTATGCGTCGCTCAAACTCGACTTTGCTTAAGCTGCCAAATATTCGCTCGGCATCCTCGATCTCCAGAATTTTTCAGATCATACTTAGCCTCATCCAATAATTTCTCGATTTGTTTAGTTGGTGCCAATTGAAATAACTTGCTCTTTCTTCCCTCCTTTATTTCTTTTTTTCTTCTTCTTCTTCTTCTTCCTCTTAAGACAAATATAATACACTATTCACTGATTCACCTCCAGTTCCTCCGAGCGAGCGACGCCAAACTCGCGTAAGTTGCGAGCAAAATGCTATCCCCATTTGCTGCCGTAAACAAACAAAGAATTTAAAAAAAATTCAGAACTAATTAATCAAGCAAGCTGTTCCCGAAATACACAAAGAAGGTGACAAAGTTCGGTTTGGAAGTTTTAACAGGTAAAGCTTTTATTATCTTTTTGACTCGAATTTATCGATAAAACTGACAAAAAAAGTTTTTTGTTTACAAATGCAAATTAAGCTCAAGTCTTGCGTCAATTTAATTAGTTGATTTGTTCATAAATAAGCTTAAAAGTAATGTAATAATCTTTTTACACAATGATTTTAAATTTAAAAAAGAATTCACAACTCCTTTTGAAAAAATTTCCCTACAAGAGCTAAACAAATGTCTTCAAAAGTTTTATTTGTCGGCAAGAAAAAGCGACTACCGCGGCCATTCGGTCATTGCGCGCCAAAATTCTAATCGTTGGCAACAGTAAATGAGTTAAAAATCATCATTTTTGTGCTCAATTATCTCTGTTTTAGTCGGTGGCTAGTGGTGGTTATTTACCTTGCCGCTTTGCGCGGCCTCGGTAAATATACCCACCACTAGCCACCTCCACTTCGGTGAATAATTGTTATATATTGTAATTTAGTTATTGTTGATTTTCGGTTTTGTTATTGTTAAGTTGTCATAGTAATAGATATAAAACCTACAGTCCTTTTAAAAGCCATTTCGTTGGTGCTTTGAATACCGTACTTTCCTTCAAAAAATATTCTCCATGACAAAAATCGGACGTTTTCTACGCGAGTTTTCACTTGTAGATTTGTCAGCAGTAGGTTTTCTTAGCCTTTTAAAGACTTTCAAAACTAAACGCCAAAAAGTCATGTTCCTGTATAAGTCTGATTTTCACTGGCAAAGAAATACATTTCTATGGTTTGATTTCCAAACTCGTCGTTTTACTTATCAGGGAGGAAATGCATCGTGGCAATGTTCCGCTGCTTTAAGAAAAAAAGCGAAAAAAAAATTTACCACGCGAGGTTTATTTTTTAGCGCGATGTCTCATGTTAAACTGATCGCGGAGACGCGTTTATATATGCCGCAAAAACATGAAATCTATGGGTTTTTTTTACAGTTTTTCGAAACTTTTCGCGGAAAAATTTATAAAGAATATTCTATAGGAAATGAAGAATGGATTGAGTTTGAGACAGTAACAATTACAAGTGATTATGTAGTACATAATCACTTGAGCATTTGATAAGCTCAGTTGCAGACAAAACGAATGCACATACTCCGAAATATGTTTAAACATAAGACAGGAAGTTTGTTAACGGGGTGCATATAATGCTGTTTCCTCAAAAAATAAATACTTTTGCTAAAGGACCCAAATGAGCTGGGATGTGACAACAAACATGACACAAATGGATGGATGAATTTGCCTGTTATTAATGTTTCTGTTTGAGAGCTTTTTACTGTATCCAGATGAACCCCTTATGTAAGTTGTACATCATGGAAGAATTATCAAGCAGAAACTGATGCATTAAACAAGAATGGGGTTCAATACAGAGGAGAAGCTGGTCTCCGTCAACATCCTTCGTGAATGAAAAGTCTCACAAATTAGCATATCAACAAATGTAGTATCCACAAAATGGTATCATTTAGGAATAAATGCGATTTTTTTGCGACAGAAGCCAGGATTTAATTAAAAGGTGTATTGATAACGTTTCATTTTGTGCTATTTTGGGGTTGGGGAGTTAGGCTAGATTTTCTTTAAAACGCCAAAATGTTATATTTATTTGCATAATGAAATGTAAACAAACAGTGCACCATCAAAATATTATGGAAAAAATCAGAATTCAAACCGATTGTTGTATTTTTTTTCCTTTGTATAACTAAATGATAGAATATTCTTACTTTCAAAACACAATCTTACTGGCATCATTATACTGATTTAAATTTACAGTTGAAGTGCGTTTATTTTATTTCTCAACGAAGACGTACCGGTACCCTGGTCCCAGAGGTTTTTCTTGATTTTTCTTCGCGAAAGAGATGAACAGCAAGCCGCGAAGCGGGGACAACGAGTCGCGTAAGCGACGAGGAGAGAGAGAAAAACCTCTGGTTACCTTGGCCTCGAATCTCACTTTCATGGAGACGACAGCTGTCAAACGCGTCAAATTGCTAATAAAAAGAGTGACCAATGGCAACTTAGCAAACACGTGCTTATCAGCCGCTATTTTTTTAAGTCGGGGTAGACCTGGGGAAATTATGTTATGAACAAACCATCTTCACTTGGGTGGTAAAGAGTGATTTGTTAATCGGGGTCAAGCTAAAGCATGTGTTAACGATGGGCGACAAGAGTCCAGGAATAAGAAGACCACTTTATAAAGAAACCGACATTGTTTCAAACGAATGCTGCAGGATTTGCAGAATTTATTTGGGTATAATAACAAGTATTTTTCACAAACATTGTCATCTGTTCTGTCGGCAGTGTGCCAGCGGGAAGTTGTAAAGTTTGCAAGAGTCTATCAATCGCGCTTATTACATTGTTTACTTCTGCGGGGCGCGCCGTTCGCGTCGATTCGCGGGCATTCCCCTGAAAATAGTAATATTAATATGTATTCTGGCAATCTGGCTCTCATTTTGGTTTGGTGGCTCCATTTCCTTTTTTTGTGGAACAACGACGCTAGGAAGAGTCATGCAGCACAACAAACCCTTAAGGTTCGGAATACTTTCAGAGGTTTTTGTTGGCCCAATAGACCTATTCGGCTAACTCAATGTACCCAATTCAAACCCTCTGGGAATAAAACGTTTTGTTTCAGGAATTTCCATATCATTTAAATGTGAATGCCACATTATAATGCAAATGCAATACACAAAGAATCTTATCCCCGGGAGATTTGAATTGGGTACAACATTGAGTTAGCCCAATAGGTCTATGCCAAAAATAGCGTCGGTTAGATCTTTTTTGGGCGTCGCAGGAAAATCAAGCTGCACCAAAAATGATTACGCACTTGTACAAAGTTGTATGTTTTTTTTCCTACAAGGAAACTTTCATTCCGTATTCGGAGATTTTTTTATTTTGCTGCCCTAAACAAGTTAGTTTATTTAATGGAATGACAGTATTGTAACAGAAAATATACTTTCCATGTCCGGTTGATAAAATGGTGAACACATCCTTTCGACTCAACGCAGCGAACAAAGCTTTCTTTTGTTGCTCAGTGAGACTCGGGAAAGCGCTCATTAAGTACCGAGGTCAAAATTTCTTCGAATATTCTTTCAGGAACAACATCCATGGCGTGCCTCTACGTGCCTTGGTCCCGTGCAAATGTTATTGCGAGTGCAGCATACAAACAATTTTCTTCCCTAGTAGAGAGAGGCAAAATGAGGTGTGAAAATCCTCAGCGTCCCCTCGGTAGTTACAATTAAACGAGCCAATCAAATTGGTTTGCGCGTTTGAAAAACTATCAACCAATCAACGCCCGAGGGTCAGATCCTGACCGTGTCGTCAGCATGAAAGTGAGATTCGAGGCCAAGGTAACCAGAGGTTTTTCTCTCTCTCCTCGTCGCTTTCGCGACTCGTTGTCGCCGCTTCGCGGTTTGCTCTTGATCTCTTTCGCGAAGAAAAATCAAGAAAAACCTCTGGGACCAGGGTAACGTACCGGAGAAGAAAGCTAAAATTACTGCAGAAGGCGATTTTTCAGAGCCTTCATCAAAGCGCCATTCATTCGCGGAAGTATTCTTAGTTTCATTAATCATTAACTTAATCTGGAGAGAAAGGCAAGATTTCGAGATAAACAAGCCAGAGAAAGGGTGAAAAACAGTTTCACGGCAGAATAGACACTTAATTAACCACTGCATTCCTGAAACGATCAAGTTCGATTTCTATTGAGAAGAATTAAGTATCTATAGGATAATTGTTTAACGAAAAACTATCATAATCGCCTTTTCCTCCTGCTCAAAAAATGTGCGCAAAATGTTAGGTGGTAAGAATATTCAGCCGCCATCTTGTCTTCGATGTACTGTTTTACGAAAGGAAAGACTGTCCTCTCAAGGGCGACAGCGGGGCTACAATAAACTCACTTTCATCGTAGAAATACCTCGATACTTTAAAGAACATTTTTGTGGAACGTATAGCACCCAATACACGTCATTCAGCTCCAGAAAACAGCCTGTAAATGCTGGTACTGAATGTAAACAATTCATGGAAAATGCCTCTGTGGCACTTCAACAGCCCATATTGACGCATGCGCATAAAAAATGCCCTCCTGTTGTCACTATATTCATTTATGGAAGAAAAGCCGCCTTACAGCGATTAAATCAATTGGATAACCGCGTGCTTCAAGGTATCGGAGGTATCATGTTCAAATGTTTTTCTTCGGTTTTATTCCTTTTTTCATTCCCTAGGGGTTTTATTGAAGCATCCTCCTACGTACACTGTAGTTTTCTTTTTTTTACGTTAGCACTTATGACACTTATGCTCCGTCGGGTCGCAAATCGCCACATTTTTTATTGATATTTTCTTCGTATTTCACTTTCCCTACACGTTTTTGGCCCCGTTTGCTTATCTCCCCACCTTTTACATATATTTTCCGAGGCATCCCATCCCGGATCAAACCTCGACGGTGTAGACGAGGTAAAAGTAAAAGATAGAAGTGGTAAAGTTGAAAAAAAAAATGCCGTTAGCCAGGCTTTTTAGTATCATTTACAGGTTCTATCCCGTCCCCCTACTGCGTTTTAAGTCCTGGTGGTGAAGATTTTTTATTTGATGTGGAGATCAACATTTTGTATAATGAGCATATTCCTTGCCTTTATAAAGGAATGACTTTTCACACGCAGGGAGATAATTGCAATAACATAAAAAGAGAAATTGGCCATCACACTTTAGGAGAGAAACTGAACAGACTGAAAGGGAAATCTCGAAAGCGACCTATCCTACCATCTTTTGAAGAAGGCTCTAACAAAGCGTTAATGATAATTGAGAGGCATCTTCTTTTAATGGATATCACTCACACACACTAGCTACATACAGAGAGAAATTTATATTTACGCTTTGGAAAAGAAAATAGTTATCAAAAGATCTAAACTTTCAGAAAAAGTGAAGAAAAACCTCAAAAGCTACTCATCGTAGCGAAGGAGGCGTTGCAAAACCTTTGTGCGCTAGCTTAAGACACATCTTCATTTAATAGCTGCCTTCAATTTCGTTTGTCACTCACCAGTTAAGCGATGGATAAGACTGGTCAATGAGTTGCCCATTGAGTTGCAATACTTCTAAATTTGGATGCCTTAGTGACACTATATCCCCACAAAACTTACTGAGTTTTTTTACACCCCTACCCCTGGAGTTGTACGGACGCGATCGGTCGGTCGCCCGCACGCTGACGTCATAACCAAATTGTCTGGCATCGATAGGTTTCCATTTGCTCTAGGAATGGGGCTCCCCTATGATCACTAAACCTTACCGATTGGCTACAGTTTGCCGCAAATGTACAGCTTAACGGGCTGTGACTTACAAAACAAAACAGGAACATTGTTCTGTGTACCCTTAAAGGTGTCCATTTTCGTTTTCCAAATTCTTGGGACCAGGTCCGTAACCAGAATTTTATGTGGGGGCGGAGGGGGGGGCTAACGAGGCCAAAGTGGACCAAACTACCGAAATGTATTTTTTATTGTGAGATCCGTTTATAAACAATGCGGAATTTTTAAGAAAGTACACATCGGCTTTTCATAGAATATTGTCATGACATCAGGAAATGACGATAAGAGACCTAGAGAAACATAAAATGTATTTTCCCTCTTTGTGTCTCGAAACTTCTATTTTGATGGTTTGGGCTGCCTGTGGATTGCTGCTCTAGATTAACCCTCCCAGTCCCTCTCCGTATTCACTGCGTATTGTTACTCTGACTTCCCTCACTGGTTTTTTATTAAGCGAGTTTGTTTCATATCGAGGAATAGCGACTAAATCTCAGAGCATAATAATGGGATCAAGACTGGTGGACATTGCGAAAATAAGTATGATTTACCTTCTATATCTCGCTGTAAAACTGTAGTTAACTGAGATAGATCTGAAGTCGCGGTCTCAGCTGGGCTGTCATTGCAGACGTCAGACTGCACTGTCATTGTCAGCGTCTGATGACTCTTGACGGGGTACTTTACTGATTCATGTATCGAGAGACTGGCAAGATTTAGCTGCAGCCTTCCTCTTTCTATTTTCCTGTTCTCTCCTACCCATAACGTATTACACAAAAAACTAATTTTGCATCTTCGAGCGTTCATGCGCTCGTACAAATAGAGAATACTACCCGACGCGTTAGCGGACGTGTCTGACAAAAATCGTGAGATCGCCTCCTTGTCTTGGCTCGCTCGTCGTAAACTCCCGTGCAAAGCGTGCGTAAGTTAATTTCATTATTCATTTAGGTGAGTTCGGGCATCTGTGCACTCAATGAAATGTTCTGAATGGCTCGGGCTACGAGAGTGCAACTGGTTTTATTTTCCTAGTGAATACACTACTGCTTTCCATTCTTTGGTTTTGTTTAAATATCACTGTTAAGTTTGAAACTTCAGTTTAACCGACTGCACTCCTTACCTTGGTTATTGAGTATCAAAATGCGGACCTTTGGGGCCTGCACCCGCACCCCTGCACCCTGTGCACCCCCAACCGCCCGCCCCCAACCCCTCCCCGATCGGAGGGCCGTGGTACGTTATAAGGTTGCTGCCGAGCAGCCGAGGACCCAGTGCAAATATACCTGAGAAACCATGCTATGAAAGGCCTGTGTTTGCCCTCTTCTTTTCTTTCCGTAAGATCCACGAAGTCTGCTGGATTCGTTTGCCGTTGGAGCTACACTGTAGCTCGAATTTCAGTATAAAACGTCTTCATCGCCAGCGAACTACCTTGTACATTTTGGAGGGAGAATATGAGCATATTATCACGAAACTTCGTTAAAACGTGAATGACAACAATTAAGTACAGAGTAAGTTTGATTTATTCTTATTCAAATTCACTCTACAGATAAATAAAACAGTCCTGAGAGACAACGTGCACAATATTCGCAGTTTAGAACGTACTTCTTAAATTCGATTCTAGAAATCCTTGTATAAATCTGTATTTCGATCAATAAAGATCATTTACTTGGCATACGGCGTACAAAATAAGTTATTTCTTGTACTTTTTTTGCTAAAATAAAAGGTAATGCCTATTCACCTAGACTTGTCTGGAGCATGCTAAATCAAAATATAAAAATTAACATGGCTCGCCGCATCCTTTCATGCAAGGCTGATCATGGCTTCTGGCCCTTTTCAGTGTGCACCTGTTTTAAGTAACAAAAAAAAAAACAATGCTAAAGACAATGTTATTGTTGATAATGATGATAAGGAAGATGACTGGGGATAGTGGTGGTGGTGCTGATGATAATGATGATGATGATGACAATGATGATCTTTTGCCAAAATTTCAGCTCCCGTTGTTTAAAGCGTTAAAATAATCGGTCCAAAGTTGTCCCTAGATAGTTTTATGGAAAAAAATGCACAAAACAGCGTTTTCCGATTTTTTGGTAGAAAACTACAACTTCATCTGGACCTTTTTTTCTAAAAAGCGTTGCTCTTACCTACCAAACATCTTATCAAAAATTAACAACTTGTTCTAAGGAAATAATGAAAACTGCTAGGTATTTTTAACTTCTCACGTTGATTTAACAAAGAATAACTATACTTAATAAACTTAAAGCACAAAGAGAACACGGCATTCTTAAAACACATGACAGTGATGCATCTAATTAAGTCATTCATTGCCCAGTGTTCGTGAATTGTCAACTAAACCATGTTTTTATTTTTTTTTTGGTAAACAAACCTAATATTAAATTCAAGTACTGGAGATTAAGAAATCTGGTGACGTTTGGGGAAGGATACGTGTTTAATATACGATGATAAAAAAAGCAGAGCAAAGCAGGAATACATGAACATTAAACATTACGTTTATCGAGGCACGTTCGAGCATAAACGATCCTACGAGCGAGCTTTGCTCAGTTAACTAAACAGCAACGACTGAAGTGTTAAGAGATCGAAACAATTTTATGATTTAATTTTAATTTAATTTAATTTTATGATTTTTATTTCTTTTGGATAACAGCAAAACCAGAAATCTAAACAGGTTTACCTACATTACAAAACGTGGGAAGACGAAAAGCGTCCCTATACTAATAGAGACCTTTCGAGTATGGAGAAGTAAGAGTAAGAATTGAACGTAAGCCCCCCAAAAAATTTTTCTTGAATTCCACAGGTTTAATTTCAATAATGAGGGATAGAATGAAAACCGGAGCGTTTCTAATTTCATACACAGCAAGGAACCACCCTATAATCTTACTGGTTACTGATCTTCGTTCCCTGTAAAACATTCCAACACGATGGTCGGTTGCTAGGGCTTATCCTCCCGCAACTTCGTAAATTCAATTTTTGGCTCACAGAGCAGCATTTTATATTCCAAATGAAGCAAGACATTAAAACATCTTAATTAGAGAAAAATTTTCTTTAAATCTCTTTCCATTGTAAAGGTAGTTTTGACGTTTCTTGAAAGTATGACATCATAAGTGACGCTTATTTTTAGTAAAAACATTAAAAACTAGCAAAGCAGTGTTCAAATCATTACAGACATTTTTGCTACACAAAAAGAATATGTTAGTGAAAACTACATCTTAATCGGATAAAATGGCGTAAAGTTACAGCTAATAAAATTTCACCCTACATGGCCATATATGGTCAAAATTAGGGGGATTTTAAACGCGAGAACAATGAATGTATTGTCCCAGGAGCAAGGAAAAAGTTGCATGAAATCAAAATTGTAGTTTTTTCTACTTACTTTTTTTTACTTATGTGCTGCTATGACGCGTTTTCGTCACGAAATTCGTCATTGTGACGTCAAAATGACGTATTTCGTGACGATAAACGTATCATAGTATCACATACCCTAAGTAGAAAAAAACTACAATTTTCAGTTTATGTAATTTTGTCCTTGCTCCTGTTCCAACACATTCAATGTTCTCGCGTTTAAAATACCCCTAATTTTGACCATATATGGTCATTTGGGGGAAATTTGAATTTCTTTAATTAGCTGTAACTTTAGTTCTTTTTATCCGATTGAGACGGGGTTTTTACTAGAAATCATAGAATTCTATACAGAAAACTACTGTAAAATTTTTACCACTTCTTTCCTGAATTTTTGTTCTGATGCCAGATTTGGACATTATCTATGACGTCACAACAGAAGTCATATGGGGTGAAAGAAGAACCAATAAACAGGTAATTATCAAACTACTTCCCTGCCAAGTTTCGTCACATTCGATGCATTCTACTTCTGTCTATGGCCTAAAACTCTCAGTTTAATTGAGAGATATTTGGGAGGGAAAGCGCTAGCAACCGACCACCGTGCAAGGAGTTGTCTATTCGTAGAAGAATAGAACTAAGTAGCATGTAACTGTTTCCTTTCAAACGCTTTAAAATTGAAAAATCCTTGATGATTGTTGTTGCTGATTTGAAACGAGTTTTTAGCTTTAGCAAACTTTTATGGTGTTCGAATTAATCGATAAAATGTGAGCGCAACCAAAGCATTGGCATATTTGCATTTTGTCGCGGGTTTCAGAAAATATTATAGACCTTAATGTTTATGGCCAAATCCCGCGAAAAAGTAATCTCGCGTACGTTATTCGTTTAAGATGATGATATAAACGAAGTATTAAACGAAAGTTTCCTTTAACAGCGCTATAGTTCCAAAAATAATGGTCCAGTTTTAATTGAGGCATTGGGACTGTTTCCCATCACCTCTTGCTATGTATGACAAAGATGATCATGGATTGAAACTTGGCCAACTTTTTCAAGCTTAAAATAATGCTATGACTGCATAAATCACCAAGAATTATAATGGTTTGTGCTTCCTGATGAAATTGGCTTGATGCATGTATCTTCTTCATAACTCTACAAGTCGAGCATTTTGTGTATGGGTAAAGACACTAAGTAATGACTTCAGCATAGAAGTGACCTAAAATGTATACATGAAACACATAAACGGTTTTAGCAGACTTGTATTATGTAAAACTGTAGCCATACTTTGTTTGTTGATGTATTTTTTGCATTTGCATCTTTGCACTGTGGTCATAGAAAATTGTATAGTTTAGACCACCATGTCAGAAGAGTAAGAATATTTCCTGACACAATATAATATTATCTTATATTTCCTGGTCATATGAGTAAGTGGTATATGATCATACAGGTTACTATAGTACTAAGTGGGACTGTTGACAGGAACTGATGTTTTGACAATACCAATGAAAATGATGATCACCTTGTTGTCAAAACCTTCGCTCTCAACAACAGTCCTACTCAGGACTACAATGTACATTCCCGCGACAAATCATATTCCACTTTGTTGAAATATTATAGACAACCAAAACTATCACTAGCCATAAGCTGCACATGAAAGTGTTTATCACTATCTGCTATAAAGGATATTAATTTGTTAACAGATTTGACATTTTCTTTACCAAAAAAAAACACTACGTTGTCCTACAGAAAATGTCTAGTGGATTTCTTAAAGGACGCCTCTTAATATTCTTGTTCATTGCTAGTGTGAATAGTCACTCACACTTAAAATGTAATTGAACTCAAGCAATGTAATAAATAAATACTATAAGAAGACCTGATTGTCAATTTAGGAAGCAAGGAGAATAAAGAAAGTACTTGGAAAGATTGCTTTGGTATTATTTTGTGCAATAAAAATGTCGAGAGAATGGGTTTTTGTTACTATAGATGGCGGGAAAACCACCCCAGCATGGTGAAAAGCGCTTTTTCCACGATGGAAATAACTTGAAAACACCAGTTTCCGACTCGTAAACTCGTGTTTCCGCAATAGTTACATCCGATTACGTTGACGGAAACATGAAATTGACTTGTTTCCGGAACGTTTTCACGTGTTTCCGCAAGGATGCTACGCATTTATCCTTCCGGAAACACATGTTTCCTTAGACGGAAATTTGACGGAAACGTATAAAAAAGTGGTACGTTTCCGCCGAAACCGCAGCGACGGAAACACGGGTAAACGTAATGTATCCGCTAACGGAAACATGTGATTATCGTCATGTTTCCGCAACGGTTTTACGTGTTTACGTTAAGTTTCCATTTACGGATTCTTGAAATTTCGTCCTGTGAATTTGATCACTAAACCTCAACAGCGGTCTAATCTGTCTCATGAAAACAATTACCGCTACCACTTCTGATTATAATAAAAGCTTCTAAACGTTTTCTTCAATTTTTTTCATTGAGTTATTTTCGTGAAGAAGATTTTCGGTTTCTGATTAGCTTTTTTAACTGTTTCGCCATCGAATCACTCGCACGAGACCACCGAATTTAGGAGGTTTTTATTTTAGGGCACGCGAAAGAAAGCGCTTCTTTTTGCAAAATATTTTCCTATCTGTGGCTAGATGACAAAGACATTTCAACTCTTAAAACATTGGTAACCTACTCGTATTGTTACTCGAAATGTTACTCGCTGTAAAGTAAAAAAGAGACCGAACCCGACGAAACCTTTGAAACCTCGTATTTGCTCGCAAACCCTAATGGGTACCCTACTGTTCACGGGCGACAATTATCAATGGGCGCGTTTCTGTAAATGGCGAGTGCTCTTTAAGTCTGACCTTCAGTAATCTCATGTTTAGACGTCAAAATCGTATTCCTTTCTAGCATCTACTCATACTACCGCCGACCTTGTTGGCCCTTCACCCTGCAACACACGTACAAACAGACAAAAACACAAACATACAAACATACAGACATACAGACCACTTACATATGAGCTATTTTTTTTTTTCAGTAAAGCTCAATAAAGGTCTTGGGCAGGTTGTTAAAACAAACAAATAAAAAAACAATCAGTTTGCTTGACTCTTTTACCTAAACATTGTTTATTGTGAACAGTTTCAGGCAAGCAAACAGGGTACGCTAGAAAGGCATTATTTTCTTGAAATAACCCACTTAGTATGAGATGTGAAGGTCTGATACACTTCTATCGTCTACCAGCAGTACAGTGTTGGACATTTGCGTCGCGCAAGGGAAGTTAACCAGTGCAACAACAGCAATCTAATTACTATTTATCATTTCCTTGGTGTTTAAAAAAAAGTAAACTGAAATATTTTAACAGTCATTTTCGTAAATAATTCTTCCCTTATGTACACCCTACCTCAACGGGATCTTCGTAATAAGCAATAACTTCAGCCCCTGCATAGTCGTGCTCGTGTGAAACGATTAAAGCAAACATGAACGACCGCTTCTTTATGTCCTCGTGGGAGATTTCAATGAAGCAGCGAGGGAAGTCGGTACAGTCTTCGGGAGAATTCCATGCATCTTTAGATCTGATAATCTGCAATGGGTTCAAAGTGACATTTCTTACCATCAGTACTATAGTATGCAAGCATAAGGAAGGATAAGTATTAGGGGAGTGTTACATGGAGAGGGGGAAATCATGACTATAGGAAGATCCTCGAAGGCGGAACAACTTTACGCTGGGTTTACATGCAAAAATTTCAGTCCGTGGGTGCCCGAGTAGAGAGGTTCGAGAAGGAAGTAAAAATGGTGGGCAGCAAAAACAAAAGGGCAATTTTGGCCCTTTTGTTCTCTTTACCGGCGTTAATAAATAACCTTGTCCCTGGTACTATCTTCCTAGAAGCGAAGGGCAGTTTACATTATCTTCCTAGTACTAGGACGTACAACCCTTTGGGTGTAAAGCGCTAGGATGATCCGCCTGCTAGTCTTCCGCCTCCGTGTAAACAGGTTCTTAGAGAACCCAACTGTTATTATGGGTTCAAGATTCAATACCCTGGCCGGGCAACATTGGCTCCAAATAACGTTTTAACTTGCCTCGTCTAGGAAACATTTACCAATGAAATACGAGGTAAGATTATGCTAAATTTATCTGCTGTCACACGTCCAAAATATATATTTAGAGCGACGTACGTTGAACTTTTGCCATATAATCGAGTTTTCCCATTCAGTCCTAGCCACTTACCATCTATTATATCGATTAGATGATGAGAAGATTCATGCCAGATATATTCTAGCCAATTTTTTGGTACCGCTTTACCGAATTTACAAGTAATTATTCAATTTTAATTTAGAATTTGGCAAAAACTACTGTTTCGCAACTTTAATCTGACGTTTGCCGTTTGCCGCAATAAACTTGAATATATCTGTCTTAGAAGCAGCCTATCTGAATTGACATCTTTTGACAGTATTGCTTGACTTACTTAGCCAGGGCGTAAAAGTTACCCCTAAATAGGAATTACCATGTCTACAATTGGCTTATATTAAACAATAATGGAATAGATCAGAAAGGACATATCTTGGCAAGACAAGTGAAAAGATTACATCTCTGCGTCCATACTCACGTACTATTATTACGGATTAACAGTTCTTACGGAGGAGCGCTTTAAAAGTTGCTGTTGTTGTTGTTGTTGTTTTTATTATTATTATTTCTTCCTACCTTGGTTTTACCACCTTTTACTTTCCAACTCAACTCCACATCTCTGAAATTTATTTCGATGTCTTGATCACTGTTAGAGACGAAGAGTCCAGCCAGTGTTGTCAACAGTTGACGACCTCGTGCTTTTTCCGCTCTGCACACGTTCTTTTGACAAGAAAGATGAAAAATGTATGTTAGCGCCACAGTTCCTTACATGAAACATCTGTATACTAAGCTTGGTCTTAACAAATAGGCATGTGTCGAATTACCAAATTATTATTGACATTCTTGGATTACTGGTTAATTTCTAGGTTTTTGCTGTTTTTTTTTTTTTTTTTTTTACTTAGACTAAGAGACAAGTCAAATCTGGCTTATTAGAGATGTGATTCGATTTAGAGACTGAAGCGTCAGTTCAAATAACTAGTGCTCGCGCGCCTTGTTATTCCAAGTGATACAGGTAAAAGTAAATTATAATTATTTACACTATATAAAGCTTCGAATTTTATAAACCTTAAAATAATTTGATCGAAAAGGGTTAGCTTTTTCGTCTCTCTTCGGTGCCGCATATTTATACTACGAAGTCACGGTTTGAGGTTGTCCGCTATATTGAGAAGTGATTCCATTTGCAGCGATCCATTTGAAATGGTTGGGTGAAAATTGATCGCTCTTTTTGATTTTCAACTTATGTCCAGTGACATACAAATCATGTCAAAGAGAAAGTAAAATCAACTATTACAGCTGATTCTTGTGTCGTGGCACAAGTCGATTAATGGAATGGATTTACAAAAAAGATACGAATTGCTCTTACTGAAAAGAAAACAACAACTTAATAACAGCCTGCAAACCACTGAGCTGAAACTTATGTCATGTTAGGCCCCTTTCAAAAGTGGAATTTGTTATGAGTGCCGAACGCCGATTTTAGTCGATGAAAGTAATTAAATACGGCAGTTGATTCAGAGGTCAAATATGATGGTGCATAATTTGACTTCGTTTGTTGTAAATATTCCCAATCCCTAGAAAAGTTTTTTATCCAATAAGGATAAGGGTTTCTAAAATTAATGCATTATATTCGGCTCATGTGAAATGCGACTTCCAAGTAAAATGCTGAACCTAAGTCGAATTTTCGACTGTAAATCAGCCGCAGATTCGACAAAGTCGTACTTAATTTGAAACTGTCGAATTTAGTTGATTCAGACGTCCCATCTAAAAGCAGTTATCTCTCGAATTAAATTACGCACATGTGAAAATCGACGATTGAGCTGTAGAAACACTTTGTTACATACCGCAATCTTTTTTTTTAAATATTCCTGTAAACTTTCAATTTAACACACTTTGTTAATAGCTATATGCACCACACAGACAAAAAAGAAAGTAAAAAAGAGATTAAAAGGAAAAGGAGGTTACGAGAAATTTGCCTCAAGGGGATTCGAAAACCCGGAAACTCAGAATGAGTTAGATCTTGAAGTTAACGCCTCTATCCACTGGATCACCTCCGTAAGTTGAAAAGTGATATGTATTCCTTCTCTATGGTGATTGACAGTTTCCAAGGACGACTTTTTGTTTTGTTTTGTTATTTTTTTATTTTTCTTTTCAATTTCCTTGTAGAATTAAATCTCTAACTGATCGAGGCTACTGAAGATGTCAAGCTCACAATAAACCCATTTAACCTTTAAGAAATTTATGAACAATCGATCTCGCGGCTACCTACTGAACAGTATGACCATACGATTCTCTCTCTGCTCGTAAGGTGTCTCTTCATCGGTACGGGAACACATTAACACAACATTGTTCCTCATTATTTCCATTGTTTTAGGTTAGGGTAGCAAACTATTTGGCTTTTTGGGTTTGAAGAGCTGCTACATGACCTCTCTTCCCGGAATGAAAAAAAAACAATGTGGCCGCCAAATACATCCTTTTACTTTTTAAAGTTCTCCTTTACTAACAAACGTTGAACATTTATTTCGGCAAACAAGCAGTTAAGTTGAAAAAAGGACTTTACAAAAGTCTCTAGAGTAGGTCTTCTTTTCGATTTACTTGCAATATCGGTCAATTTACGCAACTCTCAAACTTCTGGCTCAGTTTTCGTTTGGTTCTGCTTTGAAAATGGAATAATAAATATAATTACTCAGAGACAATACAGTTTTGTTTTTAAGATTTGTTGAAAAAAACTTGTTTTCTCGGGGACACGTTATATAGCGTGATTCTGTGACTGTTTGAGTTCAATGTTAGGGTTTTAAACAGAGTGTGCGGGAATTTTACAGCAGAGCCTCTCTGTTCGTTGCGCCGTACTAACGAGCAGGGCGAAAAAGCTGTCTACGGCTACGATTCCGCTATGTTTTTGGTTCTTTCGGCGTCGTGTTGATGTCTTACAAAGTTAATTTTCACATAGTACGATCAGCTTTGCGGAATTCAGTGTGTCTACCCAGCAAAAACTTGCCTGTTTATAACAAAAAAGGTACTTTAAAAACGATCTAAAACATTAAAAACGCTTTGTTCACATGACTGATGACGTCATGTCCCTCTTTTGGTCATGAAAAAATTATCAGGTAGAACATTACCTTCCTGCAAATTTTCTTTGCCGTGTGATAAAAGGTCGACTCTCTACAGCCCTCGGCCTAGTTTCCCGACCTTTTCGCTCATGTTCATTACCCCCCCTAAATTTTAAATGCCGGACGTCAACTGGCTATTTTTAAATGCCCCACAACACTAAAACCTCAAATATGCTATTTATTTTTAACTCGTTAATGAATTCTTGCCACAGCAACAAAAATCTAATTCAGAAATAGTCACGTGACTGATGACGTCATTACCTTAGACTGTTATCTTGTCGTGGTCTGACAGTCTTTTACGTATAAAATTTTCAAAGTTATAAAGCTTTTAAAAAATATTGCCTCAAAGGATTCTGGGAGAATTTTTATACTAATTATAATTTACTTTTATAATTCTTTTGTTGTGCCGAGATTTTTGAACGGTTTCAAACTTAAACATACCTATGAAAGTTGTAGGTTACCTCAATTGGGCCTAGTCTAAAAGAAAAGATTTACAGTTATCTGATGTATACCTGGTATGCCATAACTGTGTCATCGAAGAGAATCGGTATTATCTTCCAGTCCTTTCCTGTTACCGGCTTTTCTCCAAAAAGACCCAACTGCATTCTCTTTTTGTCAATTACATCCGGAGTTCCGAACACAGCAAATTGGTGATTTTCCTTCGGTGAGTTTAAAGTCACTTCTATTGAGTTTTTTGACATTTCAACGATAGCATCCGGGTAAAGTTCCTTAATATCAACCCAAAGCTTCTTCTTTTGGTTGATTTTTGAATCCTGAGCACAAACCTTTACTGCAACATTCCATTTATGTCCCAAGCTAAGTTTAGCACAATGCTCCATCTTTAATTTTACTGCCTCGCTTTTACCACTTGCGTCAGCAAAATACACTCCTAAAACAAGACAAAAGGCAACTATGAAGTAATCCTGATTTAACTTAAGTGGCGTTTATTAATAAGCAAGCATACCAAAGAAAAGGTATTCTAAAATGAAGCCGCATTATGAATATGATTATGGAAACGAACAGTATAACGTATCCCAGTTTTTAGCGCATAACTCTTATTGTTGTTGTTGTCGTTGTTGTTGTTGTTGTTTTTTTCTTGGCTGATATTGAAAAAGCCTCGTAGTCGTTAAAAAAAGTGAAAAAAAAAAGCTTTTATTACCGTTGACAAGAGTCTCTTACCGTGGATGAACAGTTATCACTTACGGCTCATAACTCTAAGGGGTCAGTTAAACGATCTCGCAAGCTTAATACTTTGCAAAAAAAAAAAACGTTAAATTGACTGCCAACACCAAAGAAACATATATGAAAAACAAAGTGATACAAAACGAGGACAGTAATAAAAAAAAAAATCTTTGCAAGACCCAAAGGAGTATCGCTCAAACGTAATGTGAAACTCTTATTTTTTTGCTGTTGTTGTTATTTTAGTGGAAAAATCTGGCCGATATATCCAACGAGTATTTTATCAGAAGCCGACAAATAACAGATACGATCACCTTTCAAGTAGAAAACAATGATTCAGTTAATCATCTCGCTGATTTTAAAGGGGCTATGTCACCCCTGACGCATGCGCGAGCCAATGAAAAAAGGTCGGCCCGACTTTTACAAGTTCTGTCGGAGAGTTTGGAAATCTGAGTTTGAAATCTCAACCGTTGTTTGATAGCTGGCAAAGTTTTGTATTAAGATTCGTTCTATGGTGATTGCAGAAGAATTTTTGGCATTATTTTGAAATTGTTTGTCACTCCGTGGAATTTTTTTTTTTACCTGGATTTACAGTGTCCTCTTATCAGCGGCCGTTGTAATGGCAGAGAGTTAACGACGGCTACTCCACAATGAGTGATGGAATCTTCCCTATAGTTCACAGATCCTTTCTGTTGAGTTATTTTAGAGGCTGCTGGCTCTTGGATTTTTTTGGTGCTCAAAGTATGTGGACATACAATGAAGCGGCTATCGAGTTGGCGGCGGCCGTTTTTTTTAAACGATTATGAGTTTCGTGGCGAAACTAAACTTCTGGCGAAGGAAACTTTATAAAATTCGGCTAGATTCCTTCTTGTCGTCATCTTGATTCACGGCACCGATTAACACGTCCATTTGCTCGTCCAAATTGTTCTCAACGGACTTAGAGACTGAGGCACCAGTACGAGTTAGATCCAGACGACGATCGAATAGTATCCCGTGATGCACCTCGTTTCATGTTATATTATCACTCAGAGATCACTGCGTACGTGACATATCATGATCACTACTCTTCAGCGCGCGCGTAATGAACATCGTAGTGCTTTATGTGTATGGTTTCCAAACATGTTTCGGTTCAGCAGCTTCTGCTTTTGAGAATATTGAGTTAGCAGATATTCATTGTGCTTTAAAGAAGAATTTCAGCGTTACTTTGAAGGGTTACATGTGTTTCACTGATCTGTCGAGAACTACTTGTGCGCTCGGTCGCAACCACAAACACAAAGTATGAGACTTGGCAACTGAAAGGTTCACCAGGAGAACCGAAACCATGACTGATTTAAAAAGTGGCTCCAACAAAACAGCCGCTACGCTGTGAAGGTAATTGCCAAAGGAGGATTTATTTCAGCATCGCGCTCAAAGGAGCTCAATTTACAACTGCAGATACGAATAAAATTTAACCTATCGATGCGACAAACAATCCTCTGAATCTACCCGGTACTGACTCACGCAATCTTCAAGGAAATTTCCTGGCCAGAATACGGATCTGTTCTTTTGAATAAATAAAGTTTCTGATATATTTTTTTTCAATTTCTGAGCAGGCTTGTTTAGCGTTGTGCCTCGTTGTGCCACTTGCATGCTGCGTGGCACCTTTGTCTGGGTTCCTATCACACTGAAACACACGGTAATATTTACCGCTCCTTGTTCTAATTAAAATAATTATAGTCAAATTCCTTTTAAAAATAACCACTATGAAAATACAAAGTGATTGCTTCGGCATAAGGTGCTCTCGAAAGCGCCCAACAGATGTAGCCTTCAGCAGGCTTTACACATACAACACATATATTATCACACATGGCGTTGAAATGTGATAAAAGATACGAAATTTCAGCCATCTTTACTCGATAAAAAAAGTCTTCAAAATGTGGGTACTTCTGGGTACTTCTTAGCCTGTGCAATATTCAGGACCTCAATTTGCCGGCGCGAGGTCCACATTTGGAAGACTTCAACATATAATCCAAAAAAATCGTGAATATTCCTGACCTTGTTGTGGGTCACAGAACACTTTGTGATAAGAAGACTAAGTGAAACAATGAAAATAAATGTTTCTACGTGGAAATTTCGCTCTTAAGCCATTGCAAATCGGAGAAGTCATGTCAAATAACAAAATAATGCAATTTTCTTACTTTTCCTGGAACACAAATGAGAAAAAAGGCGACGAGAAAACGACCTTATTTCACGATGGAATCTGCCATGACTGCGATATTGCGTAATGCCTCTGGATAAATGCATCATGGGATACTATTCGCTCCTCCTCTGAGTTAGATCCTGTAAATGCCATGTTTTTTAACTGTTTGTGTTCGAGCATATTTTTGGAAAATAGCAGAGTTTACTTTCCCTTTTTATCAACGGACTGGTTACAATGGAGTAGTATACCAATGATGCTTGGTTCTCTTTTTCTCGACGTCGATTCGGCACGATCAAACAATTTTGCGCGATCAATGTGTTGATGTCTCTTGTCCTGTCAGCATCTAAATTATAAAATCAGTAGCGACAGACAAGTCTAATCGTTAATAATTTGGAACAGTCTTGGTCTTTATTTTTTTTCTAGCGTCTTTTGTAGGTTTTATAAAATAAAACTTCGATTTATTTTGTTGACTAAGACAATAATGTTGTTGATGAATTTTTGTTTGCGTTCTATTTTTATGAATGGCACGCGTTTTTACTTCAAAACTACAAGAAAAATTGTCTTAACACTTTTATTCTTCATCTAGCATAACCAGAAAAGAAACGTCCGTAAATTATATCGAAATATCCCTTATCCAAACCCAACTCGCTTGTTAACCTCTCCCTAAATTTCGGAGCCTTGGACGTGACAGAGAGCATGGAAAAAGTCACGCGTTAAAAACAATAGAATTTTGACAATTGAAAGTAATTTGCATAACCTCAGCATCCTCTCCGTAAGCACTTGTTTCCATATCTCAAACCGCCCTCTCCCTTTTCACTTACACTTACATGAAATTTCTAAGTTTCTTGACTCAGAGACTGCGCAACAAATGTCGTCAAACTGCAAGTCTCTTCAATTTTAAAGGAAAAAAAAATTTCGAGTCACGAGCAGGAATCGATCCCTGAGAGCTAAATCAATTGTCCCATGCCCTAACCACTAGACCACCGAGGATTCGCTGAAAGGTAGTGGAGTAATTTAACTACCGTAGCGAAAACCCTAACCCTAAATAAAAGCTAACCGTTAACCCTAATCACTATTCTAAGTGTTTAACCCTAATCAGTGTGGTCAGTTCTTAACCCTAATCAGTATTTTCAGTTCTTAACCCTAATCAGTATTTTCAGTGCTTAACCCTAATCAGTATTGTTAGTGCTTAACCCTAAGCACTATAGTCAGCGCTCACTCATATATGTATACATATATGCAATTACCTTGTGTAGGCATCACAAGGTATCCAAGGGCGGTTTGAGATATGGAAACTAGCGTTTAACGTCCTGTTCAACGCCTTGCCCAGGGGAGGGGGGCAGGTAACTCTATTGTTTTCCACCTACATTTCTTGACTCAATCTGCAAGCCATTATGACGTCACATAGTAACGGGCAAGAGCCTCGGGTCGCTTGTGCAAATTAGCAAGAGATACGACAGTTATTAGGACGAGCGAGGTCGAAGAAAAGCTAAGAAGCTAGCAAATGTCGCTATATTGATCGAATGTGTGTGAGCTTTGGTGTTGCCATAATCTGCTTGTGTAAACCGTTTTGGTATTTTGTGTCCGTTATTGTATGATTTTGTTAATTACTTTTGCGGGCGATGTTGCGGGATCGCCATCTATTTCACGGGACCGGAAAGGTCATCAAAACTTAAATCCTGTGTTTTTCTCTAAAATAAGGAAGGTCTAGTCTCCAGAATAGGAGGTTCCATTCACAGATCACACATGTCTATATTTCATCTATTCTTTTGCTAATTAAAAGGGCCTAACTTCATATCAATCTTTTGTAGTGTGGCCCTCTCCGATCTGTTGATCTCCTAATTCTCCACCAAATTCAGTAAAGCTAATTTGATCGATTATCCACATCGAGTCGGCCCGTTGTATTTATGTATTTATTTATTTATTTTATTTTATACTATTTTATTAGGTTCGCCTGTTGTCAACAAATGTATGGTTTTAGCAATCCAAGGGCTCGCATGTCTGTCTGCCAGACTCAAAACCGGTCACCTTCCCACACCTAGAAACTTGTGGTAAAAAGTCATGAAGTACCTGAGGATTTTAAAACTCAGACCTACACGCAAATTCATACCCTCACCGTGGTGCAAGAGGCGGGGGAGGGGGGGGGGGGGGGGGCGGTAGATGGGGCCCCTCACCAGAGTTTTTGATATGTTGCATTATTTAGGAACGATTTTGCCTTCAGTGGAAAGTCTGATCTTCTTAACATGATGAGATATATTTTTTTAGGTGGCGGCGCTGCTGTAGGAATGTGACGTCACCAACAATGGTCGTCATCTTGACCATCATCTTGGATTTTACTAAGAATTAACCGATCTGGTTAAAAACCGCGAGAACTGGTACTTTTTTGTGCTTCACATGAAAAATAACACATAAATAAGCACTTTGCATGATTTAAGCCACAAGAGTTACTTTTATTGTTGAAAGAAGTTGAAAAAACATGTATTTTCACTCAATAATGGTTTGTCCTCCTTTTACTTATTCGGTCATATCTCGTAGCCATAGTAACTGAACTTGTCTCGAAATGTCCGAGAGGGATGAACGAACAGCTACAGAAAACGTTAGGTGTTGATCTTTTATCCACTAGGAAAAATACTCAGAAAAACGTCAGAGGGCGGGTGGCAACCACTCCCCCCTCCCCCCTTGTACGTCTGAGGGTTAAGAGCGCTTTTGGCGATTAAATACAACATATCATACATACCACTGATCAATCGCTCTCGT